ATACACATTTCTCCAAAGAAGACATACAGACGGCCAATGGGCACATGAAAAGATGCTCAACACCGCTAATTATTAGAGAAATGCAAATCAAAACTATAATGAGGTATCACCTCACACCAGTCAGCATGGCCATCATCAAAAAGTCTACAAACAATAAATGCTGGAGAGGGTGTGGAGAAAAAGGAACCCTCCTACACTGTTGGTGGGAATGTAAATTGGTGCAGCTACTATGGAGAACAGTATGGAGGTTCCTTAAACTAAAAACAGAGTTACCATATGATCCTGTAATCCTACTCCTGGGTATATATCTGGAGAAAAACGTAATTCAAAAAGATACGTGCACCCCAATGTTCATCGCAGCACTATTTACCATAGCCAAGTCATCGAAGCAACCTAAATGTTCATTGACAGAGGAGTGGATAAAGAAGATGTGATATATATGTGTACACACACACACACACACACACACACACACACACACACACAGAGGAATGTTACTCAGCCATAAAAAAGAATGAAAGAATGCCATGTGCAGCAACATGGATGGACCTAGAGATTATCATACTAAGTGAAGTAGTAAGCCAGAGAAACATAAATATCATATAATATCGCTTATATGTGGAATCTAAAAAAAAAAGATACAAATGAACTTATTTCCAAAAAAGAAACTCGCAGACATAGAAAACAAACTTATGATTACCAAAGGGGAAGGGATGAGAGATAAATTAGGAGATTGAGATTAACATGTACACACTACTATATATAAAACAGATAACCGGGAACAGTGCTTAGAGCTTTCTGAGATGCTCTACGCAGTTATAATCCTCAAATGTGGCTTGAATAAAAATTTCTATTTCTTTGGTAGGGAAAAAAAAGACAAGTAACAAGGACCTACTGTATAGCACAGGGAACTATACTCAATATTTTGTAATAACCTATAAGGGAGAAGAATCTGGAAAAGAATATACATGTGTATAACTGAATCGTTCTGCTGTACACCTGAAACTAACATGATATTGTAAATCAACTATACATTCAAAAAAAAAAAAAAGATAAAAACAGATATGATATGCATTAGGAGACACTGTCCACAACGGATATAGTGGACAAAGGGTTAATGTCCTTAATATAAAGCAGGCTTATGAATCAAAAAGATAAACCCCCCATTAGATCAATGGGCAGAAGAAAGTAATTTCAGCGTTCACAGAAGATCTACAAACAGCCAATGAATCAACTACAAGCTGCCCAGCCTCAGTAGTAATCAAGAAACACAAAAGAAATGATTTCCCCATCTTGTTGGCGACATTTAAAGGCTCCTTTAATTGGTACTGGCAAGTAGTGGGGAAAGGGTTTCCTCACACTCTGTTGGTGGGAGTGTAAGGCAGCCTCTCTGGAGGGTGACTTGTCATTAAAATTTAAAATGCACCCTTGCTTTTAGTCTTGTGTGGGTGCACGTTCACACAGTTCACTGTATTATGTTTGTAATAGCACTGCAGACAATCTAAATGTCACTGGTAGGCTTTTTTCATAATTCAGCCATTTTCCTAACTATGGAACATTCTGTAGATTTTAAAAAGAATGTGGTACGTCTATATGCAACGACATGGAAAGAATTACAAGATCTATTTACTGTGAAATTTAAAAAGCAACCCACAGAAATACACTATACATACACATATACACACACACAAATCCATTTATACAGGTGGAAAACAAGCAAATACAACCTTTCCCTTAGGTTCTTTTTTTTTCCCCCCCTTAGATTCTGTATGCCTGTCTTTAAATGCAGGTAAATGTCTGGAAAGATACACACGTGTTAGCAGTGGTTACCTACAGGTAAAGGAGGTGAGTGGAATCTGGGTGGAGTGACAGACTCACTTTTCCCCCTTATACTTTTTCCTCTGTATCACGAATTTTTCTTTATACAATGAGCATACGTTCATGTATTGTATAAAGGAAAAAATTAAAAACATTTTCAAAAACAAGACACATTTCTAACAGAATTCTTTCCCCAACATAAAATTGGCTCTCTTGACATAATAAATCATACTTTCATTTTGACATCTACTTGCCTAATTTCTTTCCATTTCCCCCAAGATGTTCCTTAAAATTAAGAGCAACCTTGGAGTTGTGATTTAAAGAGCCAGAGCATTTTAGCTAGAAGGGTACTACAAGGTCATCAGATGACCTGGCACCCCGTGAGGACCCAAACAGGTTTCCCAGATGGTTCTCTAGCCTCTGAGTGATTCCTCTGAGACAGGCCAGGCCTCAGCTCAACAATTCTGATGGTCATGAAGCTTTTTCACAGGGTAGTTTTAAAATCTGCTTCTTTGAAACTTCTACCCAGTGGTCTATTTGGAATCCTGGTAAGGATAAGGCATGGGCGTTTAAAGTCTGGCGGGAGCTAGTATTTGTTTTCTGTGACAACACAATACACTTCTCAATTTAATAGAAGGAGACAGTGTTAACACTTAATCCTGGAAAATCTGATCAGACTTCTGGGAGTGGATGACACATAACACGGGAGATGCCACAGGTATTCCAACCATTGGACATGGTGACCTTGAGCCAGGTATGTAATCTCTCTGCACCTCAGTTTCCTCACCTAAAAAGGCGTCATGAGAGGAGTATCTATGCTTCATAGGGTTAAAGATGAAACAGTGAGTGCTCGCCACAGTGCCTGGCTCTTGCAAGCACTAAAGAGTATTATTAGCTCTTATAACTATGTATTACATCATTGCCTCAGCAAACAAACCCAAAAAACAAAAATAATCCAAACATAACCAAATTTAAGAAACTGAAGAGTTGCTGCAAGTTGCTTTTCCTTAGCCACTGAGGTATGTTATCTGGTAGCCACTCTTCAGGACACAGCAGTGAAACATGCCTGTCTGTGACTTAGCTCCTTGGTGGCAACCACAGGTACTAGAATCTTACATATTCCCCTGATATATACATACATGTGCGCTTCTGTGTGTATGAGTGTGTTTCAAACACAGATGGCAGCAAACTACAGATGCTGTTCTGTACTTTGCTTTTTCATTTACTAATGTTGAAGATCATTCCATATCAGCACATTTAGCTCTACCTTCATTTCTTTTCAACAGCTGTACAGTATTCCATTATATGGACACACCATAATTTAAAGCAGTCTGTTATTGGACACTTGGATATTTCCCATCTTTCTACAAATAATGCTTCAAGGACTACTGCTGAGCATACATTTATGAGCATACATTTATGCATGGATGTATAATTTTATCTGTCTAATAATTTTATCTAATAAATTTTTAGAACTTGATGAATTGTTGGGGTCATAATTTTGATAGATAATTGCCAAACTGCCCTTCCGTGAACATATGAGAGTTCCTTTTTTTTCCCCCATACTCCTGTCAACAGTATTATTATCAACCTTCTTGCCCTTTTCCAATTGACAGGTAAAAAAATATGTCATTATATTTTAAAATTTCACTTCCCTTTTTATAAGTAAGACTCATAAGCCTCTTTGCAAGTTTAAACGCGATTTACATTTCTTTTCTGTGACAGGGCTATCTGTTTTTCGACCATTTTCCCATTGGGTTGTTGGTCTTTTTCTTACTGTCTGGTGATCTCTCTGATAATGCACACTACCGTATTTTCCCAGGGCCTCTGATGGCAGCAGGTGACACTACAGGACTGCTTCAAGCCTCAGAGCTTGGACAGTTATTGCTCCCCACTCCCCTTAGATCACGAAGGTTTGTTCTATAACCTGCTCAAGACATCAAACAGGAGGAAACAAAGTATATACATATGCTATGACAATCTTCATTGGTGCCTTTCAAAACCCCAAACATGCTGAACCTTAAACTGTATTTCATCAGTACTTTAAAAAACATTTGCCATAACTTTAGAGGAAACTGGTCTACTCAATAGAAATCTTACAGCAATTTGTACAGATGTCTTGGACTTACAGGAATCTGACCGTGTGACTAAAAAAAAAAATTAATCAGTTTAAGACAGTAATAACACTGTCTTAAAACCTACAGTAAACAGGCAGAAAGAATCTCTAAATTTTTAACATCATGATTTCTGGACCAGGGCTGCTAATCTACAGGCACAGCATATGAGCTCACAAGCACCTGTGGCCACCTAGAGCAGTTACTCCAAGTGTGCCGCACCGCCCGTTTGCACATCCAGGAGCTAGCTAGATAGGCAAATTCTCAGGTCTTACCCCAGACCAAGCAAATCAAAATCTCTGGCAAAGACCCAGGAATCTGTGTTTATCAGGCTCTATAGGTAATCCTCCTGCCTGTTAGTTTTTGAGAGGCACTCAGTAGAGCCTAGATACGCGGGGGCTGAAAAGGCCCCACCTGGAGGGCTCTTAGAACCTGTGCTGCCCCAGCGCAACCGGCAGGCTTCCTAAATACTGATGATGGCATCCCGCAGCAGGATGAAAAGCACCTGGGAAGGCTTCTAGAAACGAGGTAAGGGTGTTCTGCACCTGGTCTCCAGGAAGGGCCAATCTGAACACAGTGTGAAGATGAGGGGAGAGGACACAGGAGCTCCCCTTCCACTTGAGGGAGAACAGAGGCTGAGGGTAGGGAAGGCAGCTGTGGTGACAGAGATTTGAAAATCCTCTCCCCTGGGTCTGGGAGAACTTAAGTGAGGCTGGGCAGGTGTCAGCTCAGAGGACTTACACAGCTCCTTCTAGATTCTCCAGCCAATCAGGATAAGGAAAAAAAAAAAAAAGCAGAGATTCAGGTCAGGAATCTGTCAGTGCTTTAAAAAAAAAAAAGTACATCTAGCTGCAGTGTCTCATGTTTTAACGCCTCTTGGGAACCTATAAGGACAAAGTGAAGTAAGAAATTCCTAACACGTTGTACTTGAGCATTCAGGGCCATAAAAAATTAACACGTATTAAACCTCTATTTGAAAGTCTCACAGAATCTCTAGACTAAACAAAGCCGAGTTAAAGCACATCAACCTATTTTTAACATGACGTAGCAGTAGAGCTGCCTTTTTACCTTGTCAACGTTAGCTCGCGTTTTAGCAGATGTTTCCACATAGTTAACATTCCACTGATCAGCTCTGGTTTTTGCCTCTTCTACAGAAACCTGCCTTTTATCTTCCAAATCTGATTTGTTTCCAACGAGCAGAAATGGAACATTCTCATCTTCTTTTACTCTTAAAATCTGCTCCCTGGATAAGAGAAAATGAGCAAGAAATATTAATGTTATCTCTACATGTTAAAATAACAAAACATGCAATTAGCAGTTATTTGTTTCTACACAATAACAATTAGCTCACGTATTACCGAGTAGGAAACCAGCAGCACTTCTTCCTTTTTCTACCATCAATGATTTGAGCTCCACATTCACTTCATTCGGAAAAATACACCAAAGAGTATAAATACGGCAGTAGACGTACGAAGTGAATATCAAATGCAACTTCCTCTGAAATGCTTTTTTTTTTTTTTTTTTTTTCCTTGCGTTTTGCGGGCCCCTCACTGTTGTGGCCCCTCCCATTTGCGGAGCACAGGCTCTGGACGCGCAGGCTCAGCGGCCATGGCTCACGGGCCCAGCCGCTCCGCGGCACGCGGGATCCTCCCGAAACGGGGCACGAACCCGCGCCCCCTGCATCGGCAGGCGGACTCTCAAGCACTGCGCCACCAGGGAAGCCCTGAAATGCTTTTTTAAAAATAAACTTTTTATATTAGAATGATTTCAGATTTACAGAGAAGTTGTGAAGATAGGACAGAGAGTTCCCATATACCCCACACCCAGTTTCCCCTACTGTTAACATTAATGTGGTACGTTTATCACAATGTATAAACCACTGTTGATACAAGTATACCTTCTTTACTGCAATCTGCTTTACTGTGCTTTGTAGATACTACTTTTTTTTTTTCTTAAGAGACTGAAGGTTTGTAGTCACCCTGCATCAAGCAAGTCTATCAGCGCTATTTTTTCCAACAGCATTTGCTCACTTTGTGTCTCTGTGTCACATTCTGGTAATTCTCGCAACATTTCAAACTTTTCCATTATTATTATATTTGTTATGGTGATCTGTGATCAGTGGTTTCTGATGTGATGATTGTAATCGTTATTGGCATTTTTGCTTAAAGTGATGCTCCCTTTAAATAGAGTTTGAGAGGCTACTACAGAATTTTAGAATAGGAAAGCACCTTTACAGACTGGCCCAACTTCATTCTTATCAGAAGGGAAGTGAGAATGAAAAAACGTAACAGAGCTTTCTAATACTTCTATCAGACACTTACTAAGCACTACAAGTTATAGGCCAGCAACTGTGCCAAATAGGGGTACCAGGGACACTGAAATGGATAAGAAGAGTTTTTACCATATCAGGAAAAACACATATAAATCAATCTCATGTAAGAGTGGGGCGAGTGTGCTGTTGCAGCTGTGCTAAGCATACCGCACACACACATGAGGAAACGACGGATCCTGCCTGGGTGACGGGAGGCCCAGGAAGGCTAAAGGGAGGAGCTGACAATCGGAGAAATGCAAATCAAAACTACAATGAGGTGCCACCTCTCACTGCTCAGAATGGCCATCATTAAAAAAGTCTATAACAAATGCTGGAGAAGGCGTGGAGAAAAAGGAACCCTCCTACACTGTTGGTGCGAGTGTAAGTTGGTGCAGCCACTGTGGAGAACAGTATGGAGGCTCCTTAGAAAACTAAAAAGAGAACTACCGTATGATCCAACAATCCCACTCCTGGGCATATATCTGGACAAAACTCTAATTCAAAAAGATACATGCACCCCTACATTCACAGCACTATTCACAATAGCCAATACACGGAAGCAACCTAAGTGTCCATCAACAGATGAATGGATGAAGATGTAGTATATATAGAGACATATATAGATATATATACACACAATGGAATACTACTCAGCCATAAAAAAGAATGAAATAATGCCATTTGCAGCAACATGGATGCAACCAGAGATTATCATACTAAGTGAAGTCAGAAACAGATAAATATCATATATCACTTATATGTGGAATCTAAAATATGACACAAATGAACTTATCTATGAAACAGACCCACAGACAGAGAACAGACTTGTGGTTGCCAAAGGGGAAGGGGTTAGGATTGGCAGATGTAAGCTTTTATATATAGAACAGATAAACAACAAGGTTCCACTGAATAGCACAGAGATCTATACTCAATATCCTGTGATAAACCATAATGGAAAAGAATATGAAAAAATGTATATATGTGTATAATTGAATCACTTCACTGTACAGCAGAAATTAACATTGTAAATCAACTATACTTCAATAAAAAGAAATTAAGAAGAGAGGAGCTGACATTGTGCTATACTTTGCAGGTCAGACCGTGTGGAGTGCCTACTATAACCATTCAGACGATCTCAAAAATGGCTTTCCTATTGCTGGTCAGTTAGTAGGAACACTTTTTATTTATGGGAGGGGCAACACACTGGAGGTACAACAGACGAGTAATGAATCACTTATTTTCTGTAACAGCAACAGCCTGAGATTCTTTCTCTTGGCATAAAAATACCTCACTCCCTTGAGATACCACTTTGGCTTTGGTGACTATGGTGACAAAATGTATTCCATTACTTAGTACAGAACCTGCTACATAATAAGCACTCAAAATATTTTTTTGAATGAATGAATAATCACTGACACTTACATAACTTTCAACATGTCTCCCAGGATTACAAAACTCCCTTTGCACTTTATCACATACAAAACTCCTTCCTTATAGAAGCCAACAAACTTAATGTTACAAATAAATTTATATTTTTAAAGTTTCTCAAAGACATGTTTTGCAAAGGAGGTACTTTTAGAATCTAAGTTCTTGAGAGTTTCACGTATACATAAAAAGGACCGCTTTGTGTAACCCTTGCTTCAGTTTCTTGCTCAACCACCAGGAATGACCTCTTTCCTCATCTGTGGAAATCCTTCTTATCCTTCAGGGTTATCTATCACTTGAAGGCCTCCCAGCTCCTCTCCTCTCCTGGATTCTCTGTAACCATCACTGGCCACATCTCCTACTTTGTCGCTAACTTCCACTTGGTTTCATGACTTATTCAACTCAGCTGCATGAATCTTGAAAACAGAGGATATATCACATGTTGCCTTGGTGTGCACCATGCCAAAGCAGACAACGCAGAAATAAAAATATACAAGTAAAGAATGCTTGTGATTAAGCATGTTGTCTGCTTACATGCTTGTGATTAAGCGGGCCTCTCACTGTTGTGGCCTCTCCCGTTGCGGAGCACAGGCTCTGGACGCGCAGGCTCAGCGGCCATAGCTCACAGGCCCAGCCGCTCCGCAGCATGTGGGATCCTCCCGGACCGGGGCACGAACCCGTGTCCCCTGCATCGGCAGGCAGACTCTCAACCACTGTGCCACCAGGGAAGCCCTAAGCATACCTTCTTTACGAGACGACTCAAGAACTTATTTATGCTATATTTCTCTCAAGTATGGAGAGAACCCCTCTCCCCTTTACCAGCCCCCCGAACCCCCTGCCCAAAACCAAATGGAGCACAGATTTTGATTACACAAACAGCAAATAAGATGTAAAAGAAAATACTGTATAACAAAACCTAGTGTGCCAATCTGTGGTGGTATTATTTCTACTAAAAGTTCAGTCCATGCTGTCAGTGAGGTAGATGGCAATGTGCCTCCTGGGCATGACACAGGTGCTGAGACACCAGTGCCTAACACAGAGCATTACAATCTGGGCCAGAGATCCATTATGGCAGCAGCAGTACTGTACTTGAAAGGGAAATACTTCAGAAACGCAGGAGGAAGGAGAGTCTGGGTACGGATGATGCCACAAACTCAGGCTCCAGGGTAGCTGGCAGTGGCAGAGCTCGCTGTGGGACTACGCAGGATGCGCCGAGGATGTGAGTACAAGCACGCAGCGGACAGCGTCACCCTGATGTCAGAGGGAATAAACACGACTAGACGCAGAGGGAAAGGCGATCAGGTAAGAGCCTCTAGTGGTCTGCTTGCTTCTGGGGAGCAAGCTGCTCCGCGGTGTAACGGCACGACTCCCTGACATACCTGAAGTCGGCTGTGGCCGCGAAGGACTCCATTTCCGTAATGGAGAAGACACAGAGGAAGCCCTCGCCGCTCCGGAAGTAGTTGTCCCTGATGGCAGCGTAGTCCTCCTGCCCGGCTGTGTCCAAGATGTCGATCTGCACTTCCTCCCCATCCAGCACCACCTTCTTCCGGTAGCTGTCGGCCTTGGTAGGCTCGTAGTCCTCCACAAACTGCAAGAGGTGAAAGCGCATCCCCTTGAGGATTATCCTTACTTTTCAGAGCCTCTTATTTTGAAATATAGATCCACATGAAGTTGCCAAAATAGTACTGAGAGGTCACATGTAGCCGTCATTCAGTTTTCCCCAATGGTAAACACTACATTCATTTAAATTTCCATTTCAGGCAATTCGGTGGCTTCCCCTTTTACAAAAAGTGGGGACTGAACAGCTCTAGGCCGCTGATGGCTTGAAAACCGTGACTTTTTTCTTACTTAGAACACTACACCTGCAGAAACTACTACAGATATTTTATCAAATGTTTAAGAACCCTTTCTGACTCTTAATATAAATTTTCATGTCAGAATTGTGGAAATAACTCGAAAGTAAGTTATTATTTAGGTAAGCATTGAAAGCACGGTTAAATCTTTACTTTCTCCAAAATGAACTGTGTCAAGAAAGTGGCTTATACTACCCTGTGAAATGCCAAATCTTGAACTTTGAAATTTCTCCCCAAACTTCCAATTTCTTAAAATAGTACAGTTAAACAACTTTACAGTTGTACTTCTATCTTTTACCCCCTAAATCTCACGTCAATATTTTTGATCAGTGTATCATTGTTGGCATATGGGTATGTATACACACATACTTCAGTGGGTTTTTTATTAGTTCCTATAAATATTTTCATTATCTGATATTTTCTTATTTATATGCTCAATGTCTAAATCCCCCTATTAGAATTTAACCCCTGGGGGCAGGGACCTTGATTAGTCTACTAATCACTGTATCTCCAAAGCCTGGAATATGCCTGGTACATGGAAGACACTCAACAAATAATTATTAAAAAATCAAGTGCTGTATTTGTAACTGTAAAAGCTATAGAACATTCTATGACAATTACATGCTAATATTTTACATATATCAAATACTTATAAATATTTATGAATAATTAATAGAAATATTCAGAGAGCATATCTGATATTATGAATATTAAATATTTATAAATATTAAATGAAAGTGTAACCATTCCTCAAATATCAGACGTGAACGTTCTTACTTTTGACCTCCTATTGTCAAGAAGGGAACTGATTGAAGGATTAAAGAAAAGCAGCTATTAAGGTGAATAGCATGAAAAACAGAACTGAACAGATAAATTAGCAATTTCATTTAAAGTACCATTTCAATTTCCCCCTCTCTAAATTGTTTATCATAAGCAACACAACTGATGGATTTAAGAGTTCTGTGTATGTGAAAGAAATGCCGATGAGCAGGCAATGAAAAGAGACCTTAGGAGGTAAAAGTCCACAGGATTTTTTTCTTAGAAGACTAGGTTTAATACTTACTTAGTTACTCATCAGAGATCACTCTTCTTGGGCAGGTTGGGAAACCTCTGAGGTTCTGTTTCCTCATCTGTAAGATGGGGAAACCACTGCCTACCACACAGGATTGTTTTGAGGATTAAGAAAGAGTAACCATAAATCTTTGCTTCTATTTGGGAGGAAGAAGAATTGAGGATCAATGCTTAAATTTGCTTACCAACTCTTAAATCATTTAGCCTTATTAATAGTCCTCTAAGGAAAGAATGTATTGCTGTATATAGGCTGAGACCTTACCTCTGGGACAATAAAGTCTGATACAAATGCATGCACAGAAATCTGTAACCTGTCTAGTAATTTTATTTTAGGGACAAAGCCTTTTCCTGCTTGGTGTTGAGTGTGGTGCCATGCCAGTACACAATAACTGACTTTTTCACTGAAGTTATTAAAGGACAACTTATGTATATTAACGTCAAGTTTCAATTAGGTACTATAACCACCAGTTCTATGAATTCAAGGTAGGACTCACCATTAAAACACTAAAAATAAAAAAGCCAGTTAGATTGCTCAAAAATAGGTGCTGTTTCCAGGGTTTTTTAAAAAAATTAATTAATTTTTGGCTGCATTGGGTCTTCGCTGCTGCACGCAGACTTTCTCTAGTTGTGGCGAGCAAGGGCTACTCTTCATTGTGATGCATGGGCTTCTCACTGTGGTGGCTTCTCTTGTTGCAGAGCACGGGCTCTGGGTGCACAGGCTTCAGTACTTGTGGCTCGTGGGCTCTAGAGTGCAGGCTCAGTAGTTGTGGCACGCGGGCCCAGTTGCTCCACGGCATGTGGGATCTTCCTAGACCAGGGCTCGAACCTGCATCCCCTGCACTGGCAGGCAAGATTCTTAACCACTGAGCCACCAGGGAAGTCCCTGTTTTGTTTTTTAAAAGCATAAGGATTTTAAGGACCTTGAGTTCTTGACTTGTTAAATCAAGTTGTATACAAATGTTGACTCTGAACAGAAAAAAAATCAGTAGCTTTCAAGAATTCAAGGAATCCATCCAAAACAGCACCAAAACGAAGCTAGAGAAATATGCTCTGAAAGCCCAAACTTTGATATCCATGATAAAATCAGCACTTACCTCATCATACATGAACTGCAGGGTCAGAGCAGACTTGCCCACACCACCACTGCCTACCATGATGACTTTGTGTAAGGCCAAAGAATTCTGACCCTTCGGCTTATTTGCAGCCATGTTGTGTCACAGAGTTTTCACCAAAGGATTAAGAAGAATCTGAAAAGAATGAAAGAACAAGTAATGCTCAATACATTCTTCTGCAGAATTCCAGTGTAGGAAAGAGAGATGATGTCCTTAGCGTCAAGGTATTAATTTTCATTCTGCAGTGATTTTAAACAGATGGCAAATGAAGTATGCTTATTTGGGGGAAGAACCACTTATCAGAGAACACCGTGGCAATAAGACAAGTATATGACTCAAGGGCATTTCCCTTACAGTAGTTTTCAGTAATGAGCTTGCTGACCGAAAGTGAAAATTTCCCAGTGCAACCACATGCTGACAATAATGGAGTATTAGTTGTATTAAAATATGGTCGCACAGATTACAAAGCAGGGTGAATGATGAGTTTGTTTTCATATTAACCTCTATTGGCAATAATTAAAGAGATGTTTCTTCTAATTTTAGTAAGAAACAACTGATGAAAGAAAGAAAGAAGGGGGGGAGAGGAAGGAAGAGAAGAGAAGAGGGAGGGAAGAAGAAAAGGAAGGACAGAAGGAAGGAAGGAAAAACCCATCCCAACTACTTGCTGGTAGAAATATAAATAGAACCGAATACCATATACCCCAACTCCCAAGTATCGTAGTACTGGAACATCTGTATATTTTGGGGTGGGTGGCTAATCTAACTTAAACACCTGAATCCAGTGTGCCCTCACTTTTGTTTACTACATTTATGTGCTCAGCGTGGAAAGACCAGGTTCCCCCAGAGGCTGTAGTGGTGATGCACACTAATGGCACCCGGTTACCTTTGGCCATGGTACCAGGCCTTAGAAAAAGAGGTGGGAGGTCACAGCAAACACTGCGTCTGTGTGGAGGCCCAGGAGAGGAGACTTGTTTTTAGAGGCTCAAGGGGGCTGCACCTTCCTTCTCAGCATCTCTGACCTGTCTCAGTCACAGCACACCTTTCTCAGGCTGCAGCATACAGAACACCCCCGCCCTGCCTACTTCTGTACCTCAGGCCATCTCTCCCAGCCTGGCCGCATCAGCCCACACTGGTCTCCTTTGACACGCTCTTCTCTGCCTCTTGGCCTTTACCGTGCAGTTTCCTCCACTGGGCATATTCTTAATTTGGCTAACTCCTCTCAGTGTTGGGGTTTCAGCCTTACCTGAAACACTCAACCTAAATTAGGCTCTCCCCTGCCCTGTGCTCACATAGTACGTGACACTTTTCTTTCATAACCATTATCACAAGTTGGAATTGTCTGAGAGTGTTAGTTGTTTAATACGGGTCTTCTTCGTAATATACCAGAAGCAACTTGAGTACAGGCGCCATATCTGTTGGTTTACTTCATGCTTAATGTAACTAATACGCCTTGGCAAAAATCAGCCATTCAGTACGTGTGTGTGGAATGAACATATAAATGTTCGAGTCTGACTTAACCTTGGGAGTGCTTTAGAGTGTACTGGTATAAAGCAGCTATTGCTACTAGAGGTTCCATCACAGGCTTATCAGGCAAGGACAGTCTGCTGTGGGCTTGTGCACCACACACTGGCTATGCAGGGCACCCAAGAGCTGGGCACTGCTCAGGCCGCCCCAGAAGTCATGCCCATAAGCCTATTTGCCCAATACAGAAAAGTCGTAAGAAAAAAAAAATCCCATAATCTTGCTATCCGTTTAACAACACGAATACATTATACTTTGTTTGAGACAGCTTCAATCTGCATGGAGCATAACTGAGATCACACCATATATGTGACTTTTGATCCTGTTATTCTTACATTATGTCAAACACTGTGGTAGAGGCAGCTTAAACTGTGCAGCATATGGTAAAGAATCCACATTTGGAGGCTAGATGTTCAATGTAATTCAATAAACAAGGATTGAGCCCCTCTTTTTCCTGGATACCAAGAAGATGATCATTGGACTCTGATGATTACCACTGCTGAGAAAAGTAATAGTGTACTTCAGATAAGTAACTAAAAGTCGAAAAGATACCTCATCTACGCGTTTATGGAGCATGCTGTTGCTGGCGTACCTAAGTAAGGCAGGAAATGACTTCTTTCTCACCATTATGACCCTTACTTGTTGACAGCTTTAATCACTTCACGGCTACCCAACTATTTCTGCGGTACGCGGGCCTCTCACTGTTGTGGCCTCTCCCGTTGCGGAGCACAGGCTCTGGATGCGCAGGCTCAGCGGCCATGACTCACGGGCCCAGCTGCTCCGTGGCATGTGGGATCCTCCCGGACCGGGGCACGAACCCGTGTCCCCTGCATCGGCAGGCGGACTCTCAACCACTGTGCCACCAGGATAGCCCTACTGTTATATTTTTAAAACAGTTAATACCACAGGAGCTCAGCTCAGGGTGTTAACATATCAATTAATACTCTAAGAGTTCAATGTGTGCGTTTTTAAAGCAAAACATTTAGCAGTTACACCAACTGGGTTAAAACACTTTCCCTTCCAGAACAATTTACAATATAGTCTGTGACTTAGAAAAGGCAGAGATTCCCAGAGACATTTTTCCAAAGTGCAGACTTTCTTCAATAACTATTAGCTGCACATCCCATACTTTCAAGAGGCTATCCAGGAAAAGTAGCCCCCGCCAAGGAGACACTCAATCCTCTGCCCCATTGCGAAAACTTGGCTTTCCATAACTTAGGTCCCAATTCCTAGTCTAGATGTTGGAACTTAAGACAACATTCATGTAAATAAGAAAATTCCATTAGTGCTAAGCGCAATGAAGAAACTAAGGGGCACGGGATAAAGAGGGGGGAGGGGCTACTTCAACCAGATGGTCAAGGGCGACTCCTTTGAAGAGACAGCATTTGAGCTGAGACCTGAATTTTATAAAGGAACCAGCCAGCTCTGAGGGAAGAACGTTCTAGACACAGGGAAGAGCAAGTGCAGAGGCCTAAGATGGGAGACGGTTTGCCACGTTCTAGGGGCCAGAGGAAGGCCAGAGTGGATGGAGGCTACGAGTATGAGGGAGCGTTAACAGGAGGTGAGACTGAGAAGCAGGAGAGGCCAAATCATAAAAAGCCTTGAAGGCCGTGGAAAGGTGTTCGAGTTTTATTATCATTGTAATGGGAAGCCTCTGGAGAGTGTGTAAGCAGGACAGTGACATAATTTCATTTATGTTTTTTAAAAGATTACCATGGTCAGTGTGTGCAGAATGAATGGTAGAGGTGCAAGAGCTGAAAGCAAAGGAGTCCATCCCATAGTCCATGACTAGGTTTGGCAGATGGAGGCTGCCAGTGACCTTGGGATGAGTCACCTCACCAATGAGGAAGGAACCACAGCCTGCATGGGGTGGGTTGAGGAGAAAACAGAAGGTGTAGAAATGGACTTGACTCTGAAGACGAATGGAGAAATGGGGCCATAGATGGACATGGTTTTTTGTTTGGGTCGCTTTTTAATTATTCTTAAGGGATGTTTATATGATAATCATCTAAAAGAGGCAGAAATTAATGATGGAGAAGGTGCCTCTAGGAGTAGACCAGGGAAGTAGAGACCCAGAGTACACAGGAGTAGGGACAGCTCTTTCTTTGTAGTAGGAGGTGAGGTAAAGCAAAGAACAAGGTACAGGTGCAGGCTGCAGACAGATCTGGCTATTTCTTTATTTAACTGCATCTATTATTTCCTCCATGAAATATGATTCACACAGAAGTTTAGTGAGGAGTTGGAATTCAAAAGCACGCCTGTCTAGATAGATCAGTGGAACAGGATATACAGAAATAGATCCAAATACATACTATAGTTTAGTGTGTAATAAACGTGGCATTTCAAATGGAGGGTCGGGGAGGGAAGCATAGAGGATAATTCAGTAAATGGTTCTGGGACAGCTGGTGAGCTATCTGGGAAAAAATTAAGTTGGACCCATTCTCCTCACACCAATACAAATTGTAAATTTATAAAATAAATTTATATAAATCTTTGAAAGTGGATCAAAGATTTAAATGATAAAATGAAATCACAAAAGCACCAGAAAAAAAACCCCCACAAAATTTTTGTTTTATAATCTTAGAATGGGAAAGGCATAAAGTACTATCTAAAACTCAAGTCATAAAATAACTTTGATAAATTTTACTACTCAAAACAATTTCTACATGGCAAAATCTTCTATAAGCAAAATAAAAAGATTAAACTGAGGAAAATATTTGTGATTCATTTCAGAGAGAAGAGGTAATTTCCCTATATAAAGTTACTATAAATAAAATCAACAACTCTAAGAAAATGGGCAGGGCTTCCGTGGTGGCACAGTGGTTGAGAGTCCGCCTGCCGATGCAGGGGACACGGGTTCGTGCCCCGGTCCAGGAAGATCCCACATGCCGTGGAGCAGCTATGCCCGTGAGCCATGGCCGCTGAGCCTGCGCGTCCGGAGCCTGTGCTCCGCAACGGGAGAGGCCACAACAGTGAGAGACCCGCGTACCGCAAAAAAAAAAAAAAAAAAAAAAAAAAGAAAGAAAGAAAGAAAGAAAGAAAGAAAATGGGCAAAAAATACAAATAGTCACAGAAAAGGAAATACAAAGGGCTCTAATATGCTCAACCTTGCTGATAAGAGAAATACAAATAATATTAGATTGGATCTCAATTGTTTTACCCATCCGATTGGTATCAGTATGTTTGCAAGGACCAGTAAATTATACCCCCCTTGGCCTGCTTTTTGTATGGCCTGTGGCTAGCAACGGTTTTGTGTTTTTGAAGGGTTGTAAGCAAAACAAAACAAAATAAAACCAAGAATAAGATGCAACAGAGAACGTACGTGGCCCACAAGTCTAAATAATGTTTTCTTTCCACCCTCTACAGAAAAAGCTTGTCCCTCCCTGGTAGACAAACAGGCACATTCCTTCACTGCAGTGGAAGTGTAAATTGGAAACATGGACTAATTAGCGACCATAAAAAAACAGATGTTCTTTACCCGTTGATCTGCAGGGAGCTAAAACATATTGTTTTTTAAAATTAATTAATTAATTGGCTGCACTGGGTCTTCGTTGCTGCATGCGGGCTTTCTCTACTTGTGGTGAGCGGGGGCTACTCTTCGTTGAGGTGCAAGA